GGCTAATAGGTGAGGGATTTTCGGGAAAAGAAGGGCATGTGAGACATTTACCAATGCAACAAATAAAATCAATTCCCTTCAGAGTGGAGCAGCTTTTTTAGTAATTTTTAAAATTAAACATTAAAGATGCAAAATTCCTTTAAACAACATGCTTGTGGGGGTGCACCCTAAACCATGTTGTCCAGCAATCTAAACCAAGGGATACTGAATCCTCTCACCGCTGTCAATCACAAGGAAGGGAGACCTGATGGGAACTAGTCTTTCAGCTGCCCCATCAGGACTTTGCCCACTGTTTGTCAGCCTCGTTTTTGGTTTCTCGTACCATGTGGGCTGTGCATTCAATATTGTCCTACTAATCAGTGGCACATCCCTGGCCCCCTTTAGCTGCCTGCGGGGCTGAATGAAAGGGGCAGAGATGTTGGCTGATTAACTGGCTGACATTGACTCAATATGGCCCAATATAGAATCTCCCAGCAGCTGAATGGGGTTGTGGATGCATCATTGGTTGCCAGGACACCAACAGCTGCTAGTTTACTGGCAGTCAGTAGACCACAGCAGGTAGCTGCCATATTTGATGCTAAGGTTTGGCTCCGTTTGGTGGTCTAGCAAGCCTTAAAAGCAGTGTACTCCTTCTCTACAGTAGAGCAAATGAGAGATTGGTTTTGAGTGAGGTACTGTGAGAATTTTGGAGATATCTTAATTTATTTTTCTCAGCCACTTCCATGGTGCCTATTTTTTTGTTTTATTGGGCTATTCAATTTTATTTTATTTTGTGGCTTGGGTTGCATACTGGTCTTGAAGGTTTGCGCAAATTCATACTTGTTATCATCGCTTTGCTTGAAAACAACTGGGCTAGAGACACGATTGTTTCCTATATGTTAGAATTGCTGTCAGAATGATTACAAAACCAGGATTAAACTGACTGACTCCTGGCTATTCCTCTGGAACTACAGCTGGTAACACCATGATCACAAAGCGTAGACTCACCCTTGGAGGGGAAAAAATAGATAGATCTATCTATATATACATATAGCTATTAACATATGTTATAACGTGTGTTATCGCTATATCTATTGTAATGATTTGCTATGAACAGTACTAAATTGCCTTTTATTTTTTGCTTTTTTATTTGTTTTCTTGTAGCAGTTTTAAGTGTTTAATTAGTGGCAAACATAGTTAATAAACACAAATGTGGATACAGATGAGCACTGGCAGGTTCCCCTATTAATGACCTGTTTTGCAAAGGCAAATACCAAGCAAAATTAGACTTTTTAGCACCTCCTATTTTAACTAAAGAACTGTTATATTTTGCATAAGATATTCTCCAGGGTTGTGTTGAGTGCTGAAAGGTATAGTGAAGAAAGTTAACTCTTGCATCTACAATAGAAATCTGTTGTCTTATTGGAAGATGCTTTAATGACCTTTGTCTGGGCTACTCTGGACACTGGGAAATAGCACAGCAATGCTCCAATTTTGTTAGATTTTAGAATAGACTTTTAGCAGAAAAGGCAATATACCCGTGAAATGTTGTCACCCCAGTCTAGCTGAATTTGTTAAATAATTCCGTGAAGATATTGTGTGTTTTTCTTCAATTGCTATGTGCTGGGGGAAGGACTGTATCTGTTTTCGTCTTGTCAATCTTTGGAAAATTGCTACTGCTGAACAATTGAGAACTGCTCCACCAAAATACATCCACTTACTCAACAAGCTAGTCATGTCAAGTGACTTCTCCGCACACCCAGGGTGCATTTAGGTACACCTACTGTATGTAGTTCTGGATTAGGACTCCCTTTTGTCTTCAGAATTTGAATATTCTTCATGGTGTGGATTCAACTTTAGGGTATTGGTTCGTGCTTACTCTATAACATCTAGCATTTCATGCAGATTTGTTGCCCACCTATTCATGCTGAGAACCTCTTGTTTTACCCCAAACATATTCATGCTGAGAACCTCCTGCTTTACTCCACACCAATTCATGCTGAGAACTGCCTGTTTTACCCCATACATGTTCATGCTGAGAGCCTCCTGTTTTACCCCACACCTATTCATGCTGAGAACACACTATTGCACCTCATCCCTTACTACTAATGCTGTAGAGTGATCCACATTTTGTCTCTACAATCTACATGTTACAGCAGTAAATTTAATTCATTAAACCAGAACAAAGATAAGGAACAGAGGAACAGAGACAAAACAATTGGTTTCACACAAGTATGTTAATGCAAACCCAAGGGACTGGCCCACTTCTGTTCTTCGTTGCACACACATTCCCAGTCTAGGAATCAGTAAGTAAATGTGATGGTATAGAAACAGGCAGACCTAGGTTGTTTACCACCAGATGAAGGGCAAGAGGAATAGAACACATTTTCGCACACAGGGAGCAAGGAAGCAGACGGATGGACGGACAAAGGTTTCAGCAAGACTGTAGTTCATAGGGGTATGCATCACATATCCTACTAGATCTGCTGAAATAACTTTGTTAAAACAAAATATTTCCTGGGTGTCAGCTGGGCATTTTAAACCCCTTCTTAGAGAATTGCCCCCTTACTGTGTCAAAGCTATCGGGTGAGTTACACAGATATGCGGAGGGAGGGGGTTGTTTAATTTATTTAATTATCTTCTTTTGTCTTAGCCAGCTTTTTGGGTGTCTGGGTAACAGGGTACAAAGACAGATGGGAGAGTTGGATTTCATTTGACTGGATTTAATGCGTTTATTCACCTGTTTTCCTTTAAAGAAAAATGGTCACCTTGCCCATACAGGGCAAAATTAGTGTCTTTGCAAAAGAACCCCTCAACCTATTAAAACCCACCTTGCCAGTGCTCCCTTTTGTTGCAGCTAGCACTAAAATCCCCAGGTGTTGGGCACTAGAGAGAGTGGTCATGTCACTCCCTCTTAGTACTCTGACAGCACTTGGCTACTATACCTGAGCACTGTCACTAGGGGAGAGGGAACATGCTCCCCAATACCTTGACCCTGTCATGCCCTAGGCTGGCAAGTTGCATATCAGTGGGTAAATGGGGACCCCTGTCAATTTGCCCTGGATTGACAAGGTGGCAGTGCCTCAAGCCTAATTTCAGTAACCTGTATACATGGAAAAACAAGAATTAAAAACAGAAATGCTGTAGCACAACTCAATAATTCCACGTAATTCTCGTGCGGTCTGCTGCAAGGGTCTGGTTTCTATTAATATGGGCTCAAAGTTTCCTTAAAACTCAGACAATGATGGCTCAGCTTAAAACTAGTTTTTGCTTTTGTCTATAAATTTTTCTCCTATTTTGTGTTTTGCTAGCCTTTCTGCGAATGAACCTAGGGTAAATACGCGTTTATTAAAATGTCCCTGTATGCCACAACTTGAATCTGTTAGAAGAGTGGAGATTTTGCTTCTGAATCTTGGAATACATAATGGAAATATTGTCTACTGAAAGTGATGATAACGCTTTTAATAACTTCTATTGTCTATTGCCAGAAATTAGCGTTCAAATAGAGAAGACTCCTAGCGCATTTGTGAATATTTCAGAAGGATGTTAATTGTCCCTAAAATCGCTGTGTCTTTCCATATCTATAGAAGCTGCTTCTTTTATGTGTAGTTCAAAATCCTCATTAGACTGAAATCTCCCTGCATTATGAATCCTACTTAAAAGATAAAGCAACTGTTTAAATGCCTGGTAATGGAAAATAATTTGCAAAGATGTTTATGTAGATGCGAGGCTTTCAATCTGTGAAATCATTCTCTAATTAAAAAAATAATATTTATTATTATTTACACACTATATACACCTAGGGACATTGCGAATATTGGGTTCCTGGTAGAGTTGCAACTAACAATTATTTTCATAATTAATTGGCCGGATATTTTTTGATCGGATTAAAAAAAAAACATCTTTTATTTAAAATAAAATGCACACATGCAGTGTTAGACATAACGTTTACTTCAGAATAAAACTGCATGCACCTTTTTTTGCAATCGCACTACACATTTCAGTGCAGACAATCACACTGAAGGCGGGAGGCGCGTTTGGGGTGTCATGAAATTAATGGCACTGCAGCAAACATCTTGCAGCATAATTTGTCAGGCTGAAACCTAAAAAATTACTTTAAAAAAACAAAACTGTTTTATATTAGATATTTTAATTAGTTTCCTGGATTTAAAATAATCCGAATAGAAAAACTCCAAGCCAGTATAATAACATAACCAAACTTTTTTTTGTTAAGACACCAAAATTTGACAAAAAAATACAATTATATATAAAATTATATACATGTACAAAAATATAAAAGCCTATTTATCAGTTTAGAGTTAGCTATGAATATTGGCCAGAGAATTATAACTCTCACTCTAGCGCACGCGACTATACCTGACATATGCAGCACAATTGCCATTTTCATACGTAAGTGCACCCTACTTGTGTTTCCATTAGTATGAGTGCGTTTGCAAAGTCAGGGGACTTTACATTTTTTGAGGGGACATTTTTAAATTGTTTTTTATTTAACTTTATTTTTGCGATAGCACATCGGAGATGACAGGTTCTTTTTAAGGTGACATTAGGGGTATATTGGACCCCTAGTGTCACCTTTCCACTTCAATAGTTTTAGCAGGGGAATGACACCTGCCTGCTGAGGCAGCTTAATGTAAACACAGCAGGCGGTGACTTGGAGCAATAGCCAGCCTGCTATTGAAGGAGTGTTCTCCTTCAGGTCCTCCTCTTCTGATTGACAGCAGGCAGTGGGCGGGTGTAATAGCCAGCCTGCTATTGCAGTTTGAAATAGCCAATAGCTGGCTATTGCTCCCAGCCACTGTATGGGAGCAAGCCGTAAGAGGGGGCACGGCCAAGCGGCAGGAACGAGAAGTGTGGACCCAGAGGAGCATCAGAGGCAGAGGGGGATTGCAGAGGCACAGCTGTACTGGAATACATTATAAACCATCTATACCAATTTATGTTTCGTATATATGTCACAGATCTTAGGCTTTCCTGACATTCCTTTTCTGTTGATGTTTTAGGTACAGTTATCACAGGCCCTGGAAGATGTCGGTTTGCAGAAGCAGAGAGCTGAACTTGTGAGTATGACGTGAACTATTAAGGCTTTCTTAAAACCAATATATTGTGGAGTGTGCTCAGCTTTGTTTCCAAATGACATTACTGACTCAGTGCTGCTATATTTTATCTTAACAATTATGGCTCTTTCTAGTGTGTGTGTGTGTGTTCTGACCCTGAAGCAGATCTGTCTGAAATTGCGTTTCCCTATCAGCGGAGCAACCAAATTCTTCCTCTCCTTTTGCAGACCAGCTTCTTCGAAGCACTGATATCTTGCAGGTTTAATGCACCAACACATAATCAGCATATCAGACAACACAGTCATCTGCCTTTTTATATCCTTAGTTCCCCCTTGCTTTGTCTTTAGGGTCTCTCATTTGCTTTTTAAGCCCTCCCCCCCCATATATGTTCCATGACTTCCAGTTTCATCTAGGGATGCACCGATATATCGCCCGAAAATGACACCTTTGGCATTATGCTGAAAGTGCCATTTTCTTGGCGATACACCAGTACATCCATTCTTTCTCTCCTAACCGCTGGGCGCTGCTCTGTGCCCCAGCGGGGAGGAGAGAAACTGTCATAGGCGGCCGAGTGCTGCGGGAGGAGAGCACTGTGGGCGGCCGGAGTCTCTCCCACGCCACTCAGCCTCCTATCACAGATCAGAGGAGAGCAGTGTGGGAGGAGACAGCAAGCGCTGTCACAGCAGGCTGAGTTTTGCTCGCCCAGCCTCCTGTGACAGGTATCAGGAAGGAGAGCGGTACAAACACTCAGCGATCGCTGAGTGTATGTGAATAATTGATGACATAGTATGTTGACTATATCCTCAATTTTGAATGAATGGGAAGTGATCTACATCACCTCCTGTTCATTCATGATTGTGGTTATAGTAAACATACTCTGTCCTCATGTTATGAATGAACAGGAACACTCAGTACAGAGGCTTTCTGTTCATTTATAACAGAGGCTGCAGAAAAAGAGATTGAGGACTCTGTATTCTCAATCTCTTTTTTCTATTCTAAAACTGAAATAGGGGGTCTGTTCAGAACCCTGATATTTCCCTGATGCCCCTAAAAGTAAAGTAAAAATAAAAAAAAATATTTGTTTATTTTTATATTTTAACTTTTTCAAAATATTTGAAAAAGTTAAAATAAAAAAAAATTTCGGTTTCGGCCTGACTTTTTTTTTTTTTTCATTTTGGTTTTGACATTTTCGTTTTGGTGCACCTCTAGTTTCATCTGTAAGACACCCTTCTTAAACTCATTCTGGTGCATATCTTTTTTTATGAATCAATGAAAATCTCTAGCTTTTAAGGCAGCTTTTCTCGAGGCATACTTTCTCCCTTACTTGTTTCTTTGCATCTCCTTTCCCCCACACCTACCTTTTAAGATTCCAGTTTCACCTACCTCACTTCTCCTGGCACCCAATCCCTCCTGCTGACTCTAGTTACTGACAAAGTTGTTCTTTGGGGCCTAGTATTCTCCTTTGGAAGCTTCTCAAGTCACATATCAACCTGATTTTTATTCCTTTAACTCAACAAAATTTGTTCCCCTAATTATTCTGTTCCCTTAACTAAAGCGTTGTCAATTTTCCTTGGGTTCTGTGTTGTAAACCTCTGGGTGTCTAGTTTTTTCCCTTACTAGTAAACAATAATGAGATGGCTCCAAGCTGTAAATCTCTAAGATAGTAGCTATGTTTAATACATGTAGATCTGTAATGCTTCCAAATATATCTTTACCCGTTTATAATCTTCATTTTTTTGTGTGCTAAAGAACGAGGCGGTGTTGGCTCAGTGTAATTCATAACAGTTTGATCAAGGCCTGCCCCTAGGGCTTTTTAGCTGTGCGGGGGAAGAGATTGAGATGCAGAATTGTATAGATTGTACGGTCTGTCATGTTTTCATTGTCTCTCATTTAGCTTTAGGTTCGTGGGTACCCTCCAGGAGCTGCATCATTGCTAATGGCTCCTGTGCCCCAGGGAGAGAGGCAAGGATTCATTTTCCTGAAATATAACTTTAATTTGTTAGGGAGAGAAGAAAAATCTGCCTTATAATCCAATCTAAGTGGCATACAAATTGAGTTAAACAATTAGCCTTTCAGATTAGGAAGGGCCTGCTCTTTTGTCAGTGTCATTTTAATGACTTGTGTAACACCTTCCTCCCTTCCTCACCTTTATATTTAATAGTGCTTTATTGCTTGAAGTTTTGCCATACATTTATATAGGCTTAATGGCATGCTTCTACTTTTTGCAATAAGTTAAGATATAAATGCTAAAGATTCTCTACAGTCAAAATTGAAAATGAAGCACTGGAATACATTCAGAGAAAACAGCCTACCAGTTCAGGACTTTTGTTTTACACCTAGGTGTGGCTGCAGAACACCAGTCCTCCCCAATCCTTAAAGCCCAACTCCTGCATTTCAAACATTTGCCTCTTCCTGGGGATTTTTTCTTCTTTTTGGACTGTAGGTATCTGTGATTTACACCATAGACAGTGTGTATATGATATCCTGGCCGGAGAGTGATTACACGGCTCATAAGTAATGGGGTGGACATTTTGCGAGGCTGACAGTGAGGCAAGAGAAAGAACTTTTAAAGCAGAATACGAAGTTGAAGATCCTGGGTGCCATCCACAATTAAAGGTAAAGAAAACTGGTAAAATTGGAAATGGGCTTTAAAGGTAACCTGTTATGAGAGAAACAATATAGGCTAAAGCACAATGATCGACAACCATGCCAAGTTCAGGATCCTTGTAATCACTTTCATTAAAGTTTACCAATTGTAAGAATCCTTTTAATCCTCATTTAACTCATAGCAGTGCCTACTGTAACTCAAGCAATTGTGAGGAATATCCTATTACAGTAATGTCTTGTAAATCTAAATATTCCCTGATATCACTTGAGCTTGGCATCAATATACTGTATGTTAGATATATGTAGGCTACCATTGCATTCTTTCTTCAGAAAAAGAATTGTGATTATCATCGTGGCCCTCAGGCTTCAGTATTTAAGAATCGCTATTCTATCTCAACTACCAATTTATGCATTTGAAAATACCTCTTGAGACTCAGTCTGTACGGCTGGTGTGGCAACTTGTTGTGGTGGTAGAATCCACAGGCAGCGTTTAACTCAGGAAGACTCAGAGAAACATATAGAGTAGTTTATTCATAGGTACTTTTTGTTAAAGCTCCTTGTGTGAGCGCATGGGGCAGCTTGAAATATAATGTGCCTGCATATTATTACTTATGTCAATTTTTAGAAAGGTCTGGGACATAACTCCTTTGCTTCACATTAACTTACATTATATATGGGGTTACAATTTACACCGGTTTCTATTTACAGCCATTTGCTCAGGAACCTAACCCCAGTGTAAATTAAGGACTACCTGTATATTTTTTCTTATAAGTGCATATTTCAGCCTCTAGTTGGTGTTTTAGGATCAACATCTGCTGAGCTATGCAAACTTAAAAGCAGGGTATTCTTTGCCCTGCCCATTGTAGGCTTTTAGATTTAGATTTTCTTTTAAAGAGAGACGCTATACAGGATCATTTGACTAGAAGCTGTGGCTCCTTACATTAAAAACATAAGACATGTACAGTTAAGCCCTTATTCACACCAAGCGCGTTCCAGGAGCAGAGCAGTTGCAGACTGGATCAAAACTGCGTCCAATGTATTCCAATGGTATTTTGGGCTCTAGTTCACGCCGCAGCGTTCAGTTCCAGAGCATGTAAAAAAACCGCAGCAAGCCCTATTTTACCTGCTCTGGAACGCATGCAAACACATCAAAAACACCTGCAAATGCCCTGGAACTGAAAGCCCATTTGAAACAATTTTTTTTTTTTTTTACCCAAAAACAGCCCGGGACACATCAAAAACGCGGTACAACCCACTGCACTGCGTGTGCAGAAACTCATGCAGATCTGGTCTGCATTTGGTGTGAACACGCCCTAAAGTAGGTTTAATCCCTTTATAGGATGACATTTAGTTGGCTAAAGCACCGTGTATGTTAAACAAATGACATGCTTTATGTTTTTATAAATTACTATTTACTTTTTTGCATTTCATCACATCTGACCTCTTCAGCCTCTTTTAGACACGTCATGTTTATATGCACTCCCTCTAGCTGTAGCTGCACATCATTGCTGTAGAGCGGCTTTTTGATAGTGCCAACACATAATGGTGGACCAATGTGTGTTAGCAAAGCTGCTTGAAGTCTTCCTCAAAGGTGCATGTGACAACACACCAGCACAAGTAGGAGACGTGTCACCGGATAGCAAGAAGTGCCTGATCAATTACTCTTATGGTACCAGGTATTCTCTTAATGATTGTTGCCGATTGAAAAAGATTAAAATTAACTTTTGGATATGCATTAAATGTAGTGATTAAGTTTACATCTACTTATATTTTACTTGCTGTAAAGAGAAAACTGCCCATAAAATTGCAAAGAATTATTGTTTAATTATCCTTTGGACAACATTTCTTTCTACCTTTAACAGGATGTAATAATTTTAAATAACAGGCACCGTAATTCTGCTCTTGGCAGCACCACTTACTGTCTCAGAATAGCAACCCTCCTTTCCCCCATGGGCTTCTCTATTTCTCTCTGCAGATCCTGTATTCTTGCCATTCTCTGTTGGGGCATATTCTTGACCTAACAAGAAACTGGGACGTGATTCCCATCCAGTTAGAATGATGGTCCTGCCATACACTGTTTCAGTGTACCTAGCTTCACATCATTGTAATACTAATTTGATAAAAATTTTAGTATCAACAGGAAGTCATTATTTAAAAAAAAATATGGTTACAACTGATATCGTTTACTTTTATTATAGAGTGCTAAATATTTGGTATCATTAAACTAAATTGTTCAGACAGGTTTACTGTATTACTGTCCAATAAAACAAACGTTGCTACAACCTGCCTTTCTTGCCTGATCAATTTTATAATACTTAACCGTTGTTTTTCTTTTGTATTGTGATGGCAATAAACTTAAAGGAGAACTATGGTGTTAAGGCTTTTCCCCATAGTTC